TAGGCTTCTGGGAGGGAGAAAATGCCCTCTCCCGAGCTCCAGAGACACTCCGGAAGCCGGAAACAGGTCTGTTTTTGGACTTCTGGGAGGGCCGTTTTTCGCCCTCCCAGAGTCTCCATGCGGGCCCTGCACTTATCTGCATCCAAAACGGGCCATGTGGAGACACTTGGGAGGGGAGGAGTAGGGTGGGTGTGGCCAGCCGGTTGGTTCAACTACCGCTTTGGCGAACCAGATGTAAATTTAACATCCGGTTCGCCCAAACCGGCTGAATCCCACCCCCTGATCACGTGACCCTGGAAATATGTTGTAAATATGAATTGGTTGCCGAGCAGCCAAATGTATCACATGATCACGGCGATGCTGTGGTGGTTGTAAGTGTGAAAAATGGCCATAAGTCATTTTTTTTCAGTGATGATGTAACTTTGAATGGTCACTAAGTGAACTGTTGTTAAGTTGGCGGACTACCTTTCATATGCCAGGGAAGGGAACCTGCACTCATTTAAGGCCATTTTTATATCTTGAGGGCTGAAAGAAATCACGTACTTGGCTGTAGGTTTATGCATCTCTTAACTTTCTCTAGAGAGCCAATACAGCAAGTTACTCGCACTTAGATCCTACTCAGACCTCTCTGAAATCCAAGTGCCAAAGGTGTATTTTCAAGAATTCACTTCACACAGCAACAGTTTGCTTGTGGGCACTGAGAAGAGAATATATCAGGGTTGAGATGAGAAAGCCATTGCTGCTCTCTGAGCTTGATGGTTTTCTTGCAAATGTTTCCTAACCAAACTAGGTAACATCATCAGTGTTAGAAGGGAGTGGAGTTTGATTCTTATTATGTGCTAGTACCTTTGTCCTGTCAGTATTGGTGGGAATGCTCTTTTGTGGTTTCTTGATTAGGCTGCTGTTTACCGTTAAGTTTGTTTGTCTGAGTTGGTGATCCTTGATTGTGGTATTGTGTGTTTGATTATTGGTCTAATACATGGCATGTGTATATATGTATGTATATGCTGTATGTGTGTATATATACATATACACACATACATACACACACACACACACACACACACATATATCTGTGTATATGTATGTATGTATGCAAGTATGTATCTGTGTATGTATGTATGTATACACACATACACCATATACATACATATATACACATGCCATATATTAGACCAATAATCAAACACATACATCATACATACATCACACACACACACACACATACACACACATATCAGGATGCATATATTCCCTAAACACAAAAAGCCAATTCCTAGCATAATTAAGAATATGATTTTACTGCAAAGATTATTGCTTGAAAGAGTCATAGTAAGAGGAGTCCTATTTATTATTTTTTAACTTAAATAACATTAGCAAGAAAATATATTCTTTTAACTGTATACCTTTGCACAGGGGTAGGAATCAAAAATCCCAACAACTGGCTCTTTGGGTGGCTGTGGCCTACTGGAACTTCTGGGAGGGCTGCTTTTCGCCTTCCCCAGAGTCCGGAGGCTTCCCTCGGGCCTCTGGGTGGGTGAAAATGGCCTCCCCGGGCTCCAGGGGTCCTCCGGAAGCCGGAAACGGGCCAATTTCTGGACTTCTGGGAGGGGCGTTTTTTGCCCCCCCCCCCAGAGCCTCCGCACAGAACCTGCACTTACCTGCATCCAAAATCGGCCGCGTGGAGGCTCCTGGGAGGGGAGGGGCAGGCCAGCCTGTCGGTTCAACTACCGGATTGGTTAACCAGATGTACATTGAACATCTGGTTCATCTGAACCGGCCTGATCCGGCTGAATCTCACCCCTGCCTTTGCATTGTTTGTGATAAAGATAGATGCTTTTTACGAAGCTGCTTTGTATTTGGGGTATCGGTTCATCTTAAGATGTTTACACCCATAGGCATTTGATAAATATCAGAGGCAGCGTGTATAAATATGCATTGCTGATTTCTAAGCTTTTAAAGGCCAGCGTAATGTCCCAGGGAGTCAGGTATTTGGCGTTCCTTTCAAGGTCGAGCAATTCTAATAATCAAATTTCATCATTCCAATACCCGACATAGAATCTTTTATTTCCTGGAATCCATGTAACGTTAAGCCCCAACAGGTTGAAAATATTTGAATCCTGAAATTTATCTTGGGCATTACAAGTCTGTCATAGTGAAGGTTGCCTTGTTTACTGGGGAATTATGGAAATAAGAGTTGAAATGTGATCCGTTCAGTCGCTCGGTCAATGTGAGATTTAAGTAGCAAGCCTCAGAAACATTTGTCTCATGTACCTGTTTTGGGAAATTTCTCAATTGATCGAACCTTTCTGTTTTACTCACAACTTACTAAAAAAAACCCTTTCTGCCACTAGTTCTTGGGGTTGTTTTTTCTGATAAGATCACTTTATTCTCCCCTTGAGTTCAATGCGGTTCATATTGTAGGCAAAATGCTTTTATGAATGGCTTTGTAAGCGAAGAAAATTAAAGTGTATTGGCACCAAAAGGAAACTTGGTATCATGTCTTCTCCTTTGTAAGCACTCTCTCAATATTTAAGCATTTCATCGGAGAAAACGTTCCACCTGAGGAAGCTGTTCTGTCTTTTAATTGCTGCCTGAATATAAAGACAGTCAGGCAAACTCTACAATGGCTTCCTTCCATACAAAGTTTCCTTATTGGGTCACAAGGCAAAAATATCCTCGAAGTATAACTCATGGTTATATCGAGATCCATCTAATGTCCAATCTTTGCATAGTTGAATTCATAGTGTAGAAATACAGTTATCTTCATCCCATAATGATGGAGCAAAGCAGCACAATGCTGCTGGGGCCTAAGCAAGAAAAGAAATTCCCCCAACCCAACCAAGGGTCAATTCAGTGACCAATCAGGATTACAGATGTGACCACATGACATGAACTACATTTCCCATTAACTGCATTTACCATGAGGCATTCCCTTAAGGGAACATCTCCCAATGTCCAATTAACTATCCCAATTCCCAATTAACTATATACTGTCTGGAGAGCACAGAATACTTAATTACCAAATTGTAATTTATGAAAAGGTATCAACTTGGCACACGCTATTCTGTGGCTGATAATCCAACCTTTAATATCCAGGTTTTGTTACTTTCCTCGGAACTAGACATGATGCTGTTGGGACTTTGGTTTCCCAGCATAGCCAATTTTTTTATCACTGTTGTTCCCATATATCATCATCATCATTTTAGCCATTGTCTACCTACTGCAGGAGAAAGGCCTCTTTCTCATGTTTCCAACCAATACGATTCTGGGCTTTCTTTTGCCAATTGTGGCCCGCGTTACTTGCTGATTTCGTCGATCCATCTTGTTTTGGGTTTCTTTCATGGATGCTTTTGACCAAGTGGGATCCATTCTACGACCGCCTTGGTCCACCTGCCATCAGTTGTTCTTGCTATGGGACCAGCCCGTTTCCGTTTCAATTCTTTTATTTTCTCGATGGCATCGTATGCTTTGGTTTATTCTCTAAATCCATGTTCAGGTCTTTCTATCTTGTCTTGTGATGCCCAGCATGGCTCTTTGTGCCATTTGTAGCTTTTGTATCGATTGTGAGGTTAGCGTCCATGTTTCGCTGGCATATGTTGCAGCAGGAAGAACATGCCGATCGAAAACTTGTTCTCTATGGCAGTGATGGCAAAACTTTTTGTTGTGGTGTGCCAAAAGCGTGCGCGTGCTGGTGCCCACAATGCAATGCGCCCCATCCCCCTGTACATGCACACACAACACCCCTGCCCTGTCCCCTTACCTGCACTGCACATGTGTGTGCTGTCCAACTGATTTTCGGCCCTTTTGAGACCGTTTTTGCCCTCCCTGGGGCTCGAGGTAAGTCTCTGCAGCCTTGGGAGGCCAAAAAACGGGCCTTCCGGAAATACCGGAAGTGCCCGTTTTTAGCCTATGGAGAGCCTCTGGAGCCCAGGGGAGGTTGTTTTCGTCCTCCCGGAGGCTCGAGGGAAGCATCCAAATCCTTTGGACGCCAAAAGATGGGCCTGTTTTGGCATTTCCGGTATTTCAGGAAGGCCCATTTTTCAGCCTCCCGAGGCCGCAGAGGCTTCCCTCAAGCCTCTGGGAGGGCAAAAACGGCCTCAAACGGGCCAAAAATCAGGTGCGCAAATGTGCAGTGCAGGTAAGTTTAGCTGGGTCTCTCGTGCCCACACAAATGTCTCTGCGTGCCACCTGTGGCATGCATGTCATAGGTTCACCATCACGGCTCTACGGGCATAGAGGAAGGTTGTTCTTGAAAATCATGCTTAGATTGTCGGATGCCTGCCAGCCACATTTAACACGTCGTTCGATTTCCTTTATTGTATCACCTTTCACTGAGATCCATTGGTTCTGTATATATAAGTAAGTAAGTAAGCGAGGGGAATCTTGGCACAGCTGATCGTAGGAACAGCTGACTGTCGGGAGGGAAAAAAAAGGAATACCTTAAGGAGTGACTGGGCAGGCTAGCGTCAGGTGGGCGGGGCGAGTGAGCGAGCGGCGACCGGGTCATGGGTGTGGCCAGCCAGAAGTTATTATCGGTTCAGTGACCCACACCAAATCTTTGCTACCAGTTTGCTTGAACCAGTGTGAACCGACTGAATACCACCACTGCTTTTGGTGTATAGTCATGCTGGCCACGTGATCACGGAAAATGTCTTCAGAAAATGGTGGCTAAGATATGGTGATGAGCACTGTTCCCTAATATTGGACACACGACTGGACAGGGAAACCTTTATTATCTTTATCTTTTATGGTGCTTCAAATACAATGCCACCGGGCCTCCCGCTGGTGTTAAGGATGTAATAAAAACATTGAAGGAACCCAGAAGAGGGGATGATGACGTGCCCTCAATGAAACAATTAAGCCACCTACCACGTAATTACGGACGGTCTCTGTCACAACGCTTCGAACGGGGACCTTGGAGCTTCCCATGGCGGATGGTGCAGGAGACGACGGTGGTAACAGAACTGGAGCAAGGGCAACTGGAGGGATCGTGGGGACCACCGAAGGAGGAGGAGGTGGAGGGGTGACATGGACAGGAGCTGGTGCTGGGGAAGGCGGAGGCGGTGTTTTGGGTCGAACCAGGAGAGGTAACGGTTTAGGCTCCGTTGTGGGCATCACTTTGCTGATGACACTGTCGGACAAAAACAGAAAGAGTTGACATACCGTTAGACAATTCATTCAATTAAACAAAAATGATGCACAGTCACCATATTTTTACGAGTATAAAACACTCCGAAGGATAAGATGCACCTAGCTTTTGTGGAGGAAAACAAGAAAAAAATATATCTGCCTCTGCCTCCCAGCAATTTGCCTCCTTGCAGCAAACAGCAAACAGCTTGGTCAGCTTCAGCACAAGCAGCTGATGGTCGGTTGTATCTGCCTCCTGATGATCAGCTGTTTCAGGCTACAGGGGTTGCCATCGCCTATTGCCGCCTCTGCGTGACCCATTTTCGGCCTCCGCATGCCCCGTTTTCAGCCTTCAACTGTCCTATTTTGGGCCTGTTCTGGGCGGCAATAGGAACATGTGGAAATTGGGGCATTCAGAGGAGGCAATAGGCATTGGCAATCCCTGAAGCCTGAAACAGCTGATTGTCGAGAAGCTAATCCAACCAACAATCAGCTTCCTGTGCTCATCAGGCTGTGCTGAGGCTGAAAACAGACTGTTTGCTGCAAGGAGGCATATTGCTGGAAGGCAGAGGGCAAAGGGTGGGGGCCGGTGGGTGGGCTAGGCTCCGGCAACATTCGCTGTATAAGACGCACAGACATTTCCACCCACTTTTAGGGATGGAAAAAGTGCATCTTATACTCCGCAAAACAAGGTAAGTGGGGAGGAGAAGATGCAATTCTGTTCACGAAGGACAAAAGCAGGAGCAGCGATTCATAACAGCATTGGGGAGAATAATGAAAGGAAACCAAAGTTACTTCAAATTCCAATACAGTTACTGTAGTTCTCGACTTACGACCAATCTACATTGCTAAGCGAGCCAGGTTCGCTTAACAACTGCGGCAAGGAAAGTTGGAAAATGAGGCAAAACCCATCCAACAAGAGACATTTTGGGCTCCGTTGTGGCCATTAGTGGAGGAGTACCTGTAATCCTTTCTTCCCTTCTAGTCGGACTGCCAACATGTGTCTTGCTGGATAGAAGAATCAGAATCAGAATAGAGCTGAAGGGGACCTTGGAGGTCTTCTAGTCCAGTCCCCTGCTCAAGGAGGAAACCTTATACCATTTCAGACAGGTGGCTGTTCAGTCTCTTTTTAAAAACCTCCAGTGATGGTGCTCCCAAAATTTCTGGGGGCAAGCCATTCCACTAGTTACGTTGTCCTCACTGTTGGGAAGTTTCTTCTTAATTCCAGGTTGCTTCTCTCCTTGATTAGTTTCCATTCGTTGCTTCTTGTTCTGCTTTCAGCTGCTTTGGAAAATAAATTGACCCCCTCTTTTGGGGGGCAGCCTGTCAAACACTGGACAACTGCTATCATGCCCCCCCCCCGGAGTTCTTCTTTTCTCTAGACTAGCCAAACCCAAATCCTCCAACCGCTCTTCATATGTTTTAGCCTCCAGGCCTTTAATCAACTTAGTTGCTCTTCTTTGCACTTTTTCTAAGGCCCAAGGTAAATTTCAGGATCCTGGATATGCAAACGCTGTTTTCCAAGCTTACCGTTTCGCTTGGAGAGCAAACCAACTGCCAAAATCTCTCAAACCTGAGCAACAAATATTTTCTATTATTTCAAAACATCCAACTCTTGTGTTATTCTTTTATTCTGATGACGATGAAAGCAATAACCCTTAATTAGGATAAATAATATTATGCAGGATATATCTTGTACTCAGCAGGCAACTAATAATTGCTACCCTTCTTTACAATATAAAGCAGGACTGCATTGCAATATATAAACAGAGCAGTTGGATTTGATGGGCTAGCATGGAATCTATTAAGAGTGGAACAGGTAGGCCCAGCAGTTACCTCCAAATGTGCAACTGAAAAAGAAAAGGAAAAGGAGGAAGAATCTTGGGGGTTGTAGTTTTTGGAGAACACCAGATCAAAGAGCAATGTGTGATGGCCCAGGGTGGCATACAAAAGCAACAAAGTCACAAAAACAAGTGAAGTCCCTTTAATTCCTTCAACTTGGCTTCAAAGCTGCAATTATCATTGACTGGAGAAAAAACTCCCCCACAAATAGCTGCGAAAAGGAAGAAATGCCATTCAAACTCAAAATACATGTAAATTATAAATAGAAAAAACAACACGAACCACACTGAAGCAATTAATGAGACAAGGCAAGGGCTTGAAGACGTCCACAGATATCAAATAACACACACTGGGAAGGACGCCAGAACTCAGATAAGAACTGAAAGACTAGAATTATTTCACACTTTGCTTACAGCACTGGGCCATGCGCAGTTTGTCCTTTTAAATAGTTCTCACAGCTGCAGCCCATGAAGGGGATCAGGGCCCCTTCATCCCCCATAGACCACACCATTCACGTTTCTCCCTTATCCGCTCCTCCCTGCGTTCCCTAGGATGAAGAGGGGATGGGCCTGGGTCTTCCTCTGAATGTCCAGGCGGCCTGTGCCCTTCCCCAGTTTCCTCCACAACTTCCAGAGTCACACTTCCACCCCCTGTTGGCTGTTCCTCCTCTCCCTCGGAGTCAGATTCTAACAGGGGCCTGACACAATGCTTTGGAGAAAGAGAAGCCTGACACAATGCTTTGGAGAAAGGTACACAGGTAGTCCTTGATTTATGGCAACTATTGAGCCCCAAATTTCTATCGCTAAGCAAGACAGTCGAAGTGAATTTTGCCCCATTTTACGACTGTTCTTGCCACTGTGGTTAAGTGAATCACTGCAGTGGTTAAGTCAGTAACATGGCTGTTAAGTGAATTTGGTTTCCTCATTGGCTTTGCTTGTCAGAAGTGGGGGGGCAAATGGGGATCACGAGACCCTGGGACACTGCCCCTGTCGTAAAATATGAACAAGGGGTCCGAATTGTGATCACAGACATGCTGCAATGGTTGTGAAGTGTGAAAAAAAGGGGCTAAGTAGTCAGTTTTCTCAGTGCTTTGTGACTTCGAGGCAGAGGTGGTATTCAGCAGGTTCTGACCAGTTCTGGAGAACCGGTAGCGGAAATTTTGAGTCGTTTGAAGAACCGGCAATTCCCACCTCTGACTGGCTCCGCCAACCCCATCTCTTCTCCGCCTCCCATTGAGTCCCAGCGGATTGGCTGGGTCTTCTTTGGTTGCCCTGCACAGGAGCTGGAAAAGCAGGTTAGTGGGGTGGGGAGGGAATGGGAATTTTATAGAATGGGAATTTTACCTTTCCCTGCCACACCCACAAAACCACAGCACACCCACCAGGTCACGCCCACAGAACCAATAGAAAAAAAATGAATCCCACCACTGCTTTGAAGGGTCATTAAACTTCCCTTCAAGATTGCAAGTGAATTCTGATTTATATGTGATGGTACCTTCAGCGTATCAGGATGGAGAATTTTAAGGAAGCTCCAACACACAAGGTGATAATGGACGTTCATTCACCTCTTGGGAAACTTTTATTTTTCTACGATGATCTAATTAGCATCTTGATTTGAGTTTGTCTACACAGCGCAGCCTTAGCTTGGGGAGTGGAGAAAAGGATTCGAGATGAACTTAAGAAAGATCGAAAGGTGTTCTGAGCCGTCGTTTCAGCTACTAATCAGCATTTCTCTTCAACTGCAGATTCCCCAAAGGACACACTAAAATAGGTTTGAAAAGACTGGACAGCCATTTGTCTGAAATGGAGTGGGGTTAGACTAGAAGACCTCCAAGGTCCCTTCCAAGTCTGTTAGTCTGTTATTCTGCAGTTATTCCATTAAGCTTTTAAAAAGGGAGAAAACACCCAAACCCTGCTTGTTGTGGGCTCTGTAAGGACAGTCACCTTAAAAGCTAACATTTGCTTTGAGGGGGAAGTAAACAGAAAAATGCCTATTAAAAAGTCATAAAAGACTTTCACTAAAAGATGAGAAAGGAATCCATGAGAAAGGAGCATCTCTCTTTCTCCAAGCTTGACTAAGCTTTATAAATGACTTATCTATAAAAATACATAGTAATAATCCAATCATAATAATAATAGACTATTATGTATTATATATTATTGATAGTTATTTTACAAGGGATAGGAAGTAACTGCCCTTTAATACTTTCTATGAGATATTTAAATCACTATCAAAATGTATTACAGGAAAATATGATTTGTCTTACTATAGAATGTGTTGTGATGTTTATTTGTACGATTTTTTTTATTTTTTTACTTTTGTGTATTTGTACTGTATATTTTAATCTTTTGTACTTCATAAAGAATTTTTTAATTTTTAAAAAAATTTTAAAAAAAAAAGATGAGGAAGGACTCTTCCAAAGGCCACAATTAGTTCCCATTGGCAAGACTGTCCCCAAAGTCCACTGCGACTGTTGTGCTCCTGAGCTGTCAAAAGCATAAGCGAGTCTAAAAAATGGGTAGTCAAGGCGAACACCCCAACAAACAAGGTTTGAAGCACGGTGTTTCTTGAAGCGCATAAATACAAAACACATGTAATTTCAAAGCTAAGTCACGATCAACCCAGAACAATATAAATGTTCTTATTATACAGGACTGCAGATGGCTGAATGCCAGCGAGGGTATGGTCTCCTCCGCTCAATGTCTCACGGTCTCTTTTGCCCCAGAGCAAAAGAAAACGAATGGCATACTCTCCTTCCGACCCATCAAAGGTGAATCTTCTTATTGTCAGACGCAGGCAACCAAAATCCCACTTGTGAAAAACCCAACTCAACCACTTTATTGTGTTCTACCTCTATGACAAGAATCTCCCTGGACTGCTTGCCTTCTTTGGGAACAATCAGATCATGGAGTTTAGGGATGTAGTCAGGTTGCGCAACTGATTCAATGATCGCTTGCTTCGCTGCGTATGCGTCAACTCTATGCAAAAGTCCTTACCTACTATGTTACTTTGGGGGAATAACACAGCTGAGGAGCGGCAATCCGCTCTTTTGCGCTGATCAGCTGGGACAATAAAGGTCAGTATTGCGCAGGGGCTGGCGGGCGGACCCATATGATTGTTGCAGCGAATCGGTTTAGAGACAGCTGATCTCCCAAGCACAAA